GGATTCTTCTTCATTTTTGACATCCTATGTTTTGTCAAGCACTTTAAATTGCATTTGATTTGTTTGAAAAGTGCTAGATGAATAAACGGATCGATTTTCGATTGATGTAATCATTATCTGTCACCAGCTGTGTAGAGAGTCATTTGTTCCCCTTTGTACATAGAGTGCTTCATGTAAATGATTGATACTCTGTACAGAATGTGATGCTTTGTTTGTATTGTATTTACAGTCAAGTCATTAATATATTCTGTCCCTTGTAGCTGCTCCCCACTGGGTTAAGGAGCCTGTCAGTCAGTTATATGCCCCGGGTGAGACAGTCAGACTGGACTGTCAGGCAGACGGCATCCCCTCTCCTACCATCAGCTGGACCATCAATGGGATCCCCCTCACAGGTCAGCACACACACCCAACCTGCACACACTTACTTCAACAGGCAACCTTGAACGCTGCACAGGCACTGACAGTGTGTACCTTTTAACAGATATCGATACGGACTCCAGACGTAGTGTGACTCCAAGCGGCTCTCTTATCCTAAATGATGTCAACTTTGAAGACACCGCCATATACCAGTGTCAGGCCTCCAATAAGCACGGAACCATCCTCACCAATACCAACGTTTATGTGATCGGTGAGTGTTTGTTTGTGCATGTAACTGGTTTAACAGTTGTGTGTGTGCGTCTCAGTATGTGACTCATTTCTTTTATGTGTGTGTTGTTTCAGAGCTGCCACCACAGATCCTTACCGAGGATGGGAACACATACACATTTACAGAGGGCCACAAGGCTTTGATGGAGTGTGAGACCTTTGGTTCTCCTCAACCTAAAGTAACATGGTGAGGTGCAACAGTCAGTTGCTTCATATTGTATTTTATTCTAGTTTGTTGTTTGACAGATTTATGTATTTAATAAAATTCACAGAGGCAAAATTGTGTAGGTGGCTTTTCACATGCATAAATTGACAAGTGCTGTAACATCTGAGCTGTGATTGTGAATTTCATCAGCATGGCTGGTGTCCAACCAGGCTTTGTTCTTTATGGTACAAGCAGCTATTAAACTGAAGAGTTAATCGGCCACTGCAGAGAAAGGTTTATCTCTTACTGTGTGTGTGTGTGTGTGTGTGTGTGTGTGTCAGGGAGAGTGGCAGCGGCTCCCTTCTGGCAGATCCCAGAGTTAACCTACTGACGAATGGGGGCCTCGAGATCGCTAATGTCACCCATGATGACGAAGGCCTCTACACCTGCTCTGTGCAGAACACCAACATGTCAATCAATGCAGAGCTGGAAGTGCTCAGTGAGTGACACATGCACGAAGACATACACACACACACACACACACATATACAGGTTTGTGCAGCTATCCTATCAGGACTTTGCACTGACTTCCGTCCATTGTTGCCAGCCTTACCAAAACCTTATCTTTAACCTTAAATATAACTAATTCATGCCTAACGCTCACCTTAACCTAACCACAATTCACATTTTACACCTAGCCTTAACCAGGACCTCAGAAATTAGGGTCAGGTTTAAGGGTTAGGGCTGATTCTAACCAGAACCCTAAAATCTTAACCCTCAAACAGCCCTTTGAAAAAGTGAGGACCAGCCAAAAATGTCCTCAATCTGTCCTCACAAAGGTATAAGTAGAGGAACACACGCACTCAGTGTCTTATGCCACTTGTTTTCTCCCTTCCAGACAGGACCGTGATCTTGTCGCCACCACAGGCCCTAAAGGTGCAGCCTGGAAACACAGCCATCTTCACCTGTCTGGCCCTAGTTGACCCCAAACTCGGTTTTCCGCTCATTCAGTGGAGAAAGAACAATCAGAAGCTGTATGAGTCGCAAAGTGACCAAAAGTAAGACAACATTCTTTAACCTGGAGAACTGACAATAA